TCTTACCGTAAAACTTGGACTTGGCCAGGATGCTGCCGCTGAGACAAAAGCCATCCTTCCTGTTGCTGACGTAAAAGGCTGAAACCGGTGGATGATGGGATACCTGGAGGAGGACAGACACTTTATGTTGGTGTGAGGCTCGGTAGAAACTGAGTGGAATTAAAGTCGATTTTGCTGCTTCACCTGTTCTGCGATGTAGAAGGTTTTGCTGTTGGTCTTGCTGTGGATCCATAAACAGCGAAATGTTTCTCCAATAATGGGGTTGTACGGTTTCTTCAAACCCTGTCAGTGACAAAAATGATGAAAATATGACGGAAAATGACAGATTCGAGATGTCTGAAAGGTCTATTAGTGAATGAGCCTTTACCTTTGGCTTCTTGTAGAATCCAGAAATGTACCATTTGACCACTTTCTTCATACGGTTATAAGCGTTTTCCTCCACCGCCGCTCTGATAAGATTAACAAAACACAATTACAGTAAAGTTACTTTAATAAAACAAGCTAAAATCTGATTTGATGTCGTTATGTGTATTTTTTAAAATAATTTTTTACCAGGGTTATTATTGCTAAATAACACTAAAAACATTTTAAAAATTCTTTACTTGAAAAAATAAATAAATTAATGAATGAATTAAATTAAATAAATAAATATTCTCATTTTCGTTTGGTTTAAGTTACTAAAATTACTAAAACTAAATAAACTAATATTAATAAATCAAAATTTATAAATATTATATAGACATATTTAAAAAAAGAAAACTAAAATCACAAAAACACAAAAAATACAAAAACATTAACTAAAATTAGTGTGAAAACATCTATAAAATCGAATTCAAAATATTAACAAAATAACAGTCAAAAATAACATTGATTTTGACATTTTAATTTGACTTTACACTGATGATTTGTTTATTATGTTTCTTACTATGTGGACAATTTGTTTATTATTATTATAAATAAATGTAATCCATTTAATTTAATATTATTTAGTTACAGTGATTTTACCATGTTTGGTCCACTTCATATTTAATTCCTAACTATGATAATATTTATTTTAAAATAAATTACATATAATTAATTTAATGTAAATAAATTAAGCAATATTAATATCAAATTTTAATATAAACAAAAAATAAAATAATTAAATTAAAAAAAATGTAATTAAATAATTTTCTTTAAATAATTAGATTTTTTATCAATTATGTTTTTTACACATTTTATAGTCCCTAATAAGGGACTGATTTGGAACACTATAGAGACAGCAATTCCATGCATGCTCCTTTCCGATGTCATTTAGTTAATTATTTATATACTATTATAGTAGTTAGCTTTTATTTTTATATTTTCATTGTCATATTTTTATTTTTAGTTTAAGCTTTAATAATTCTATGATGTTCTTTTGTCATTTTTATTTTTATGCCATTTTATAATTTATATTTAGCTTTAATTTATTTTTATTTCAGTTTAAGTAATAACTAGAATTCCAACTTTAATTTATTTCAGTTCTAATTTTCGTTTCGTTTTCTACTTTAAGTTTAATCTCAATTTTGTATATTATTTCAGCTTTATTTCAATGAGGATTTTTAGTAGTTTTCCTTTTGTTATTAGTGAACATAAAGGAGCATCTGAATAATAGGAGCATCACTGTGTCTGTGTGTTATCTTACGCGGACAGGAAGTCAGCGTGATAATAGTAATCGGACAGTTTGTCCAGGAAGGATCGTGGCTCCAGGATGAAGGTGGGCAGCACGACTTTGGACAGGTCCATGCCGGGCCGAACCTGCTTCAGTAGAGTCCAGATCAGAGATTTATTCTCCTCTGATACCGTTTCTGTTTGAGACTCTTCGCCTGCCTGAAACACACACACACACCACACACACACACACACACACACACACAGCTTGAATGAACAGATTGTGTCATATCCACCACAGACTTACTGTTCATCTCCCAGCTGTCTGCTGTAAAAATAGCCGTCTGAATATTGTGTTAGCATCTGTGCATCAATAACACTCCACTCCAGCCAAACGCATGTGAGGACCTCAATTATTCATGATGATAATGCCATTATCATCATTTAGTTGAGGGATTGCATCACACACGCACCTCTCCCAGCTCCTCGTGGCTCTGCTCGATGTACGACGTTTCCCGCAGTGTCTCGTTGGGATCGAGGTCGATGTACGAGTCTTCCTGTCGCTCTGACGTGTCACTGTCGCTCTCTTCACTTTTCTCCATCACCTCGTTCTCCCACTCCTCCTGCTCCTGCTCGTTCTCACGGTCCGATTTATCCGAGTACAGGTCCGGATCCTTAAACTGGTCGCTGTCGTTAAACCTGACGGATCACACAAACTCTCAGTTAGTATGCAAACATACTATCGGTGACTAGTGGTGCTTCAACTACTTCAGTTTCGGTCAATATATGCATACAGAGTGAAACAATCAGTTCACAAAATAAAACAAGCTAAAATCAGGTTTGATGTCTTATTTTGCCTTTACGCTTTTATGTGGACAAATTGTTTATTAAAGTGAATATTATTATTATAAATAAATAAATTATAATAATAAATTATAATAAATTCATTTATTATTATTTAGTTGCAGTGATTTTATCATGTTTGGTTAACTTCATTTTTAATCCTTAACTATTAAA